GCTTGCACCTCATTCACATTCTGGGAAGTGGGATAGTCCTGTACCTTAACAGAAAATCTGAACAGAACAATAATGTGTAATGAGATTGAATCAGCAATTAAATCTCCCAACAACAGAAAGCCCAGACCCAGATGTCTTCACAGGTGAATTCTGCCAAACATTAAAAGCATTAGTACCAATGCTCCTTAAACTCTTCCAGAACATAGAATAGGGCAGACTTCCAAATGAGGCCAACACCAACCTGACTGATATCAAAAACAGACAAAGACACTGTATCAGTCCTCACTATTTTCCACATCTTGGTTCATAACCTTTAGTAGGTTAATAAATTATTGGAGGGCCTCCCCGGTGGCCCAGTGGTTGAGCACTGGACTGTGAAGCTGCCCACAGCCTCTGCAGCGCAGGTTTGATCCCTGGCCTGCCGGCCGGCTGGCCAGCAAGGATCCCACATGGCCCGCAGACCTCTCCTGCTGTGCCTGCTGCTCCCCTCAGCAGTGTGTTTCGTCAGTCTGCCTGTTCTGCTCCCTGCTCTGGCTCTGGTGAATTCTCTCACCCTCCTGCGTTTCTGACTGTACCCAGTGCTTGTATAAATAAATAAATAAATAAATAAATAAATCTAAAAAAAAAATTACTTGAAAAGATATTTTTCTAGTGTTAAATAACTTTTGCTTTCTGTGATTTCTTATTCTGTGATGTGCTAATATTAAGATTTAAGATTTTTGTAGTTATGTGATAACAGATTTGTTGCTGCTGTCTATGTCTATCTAATTTTTGTGACAAGTTATCCTAAGCTCACAAAATAAGTTAGCTTTTCCATGTTTTCTATACTCTGGAATATTTTAGATAAGACAGTGATTTCTGTTCCCTGTTGTTTTTGCAAAACTTGTTTGTGAAATCATTGAATGCATTCGGGAAGTTGCCCTGATCTTTCCATTTCTCATGTGGTTAGTAGTCTATTTATTTTCCTTCTTTTTTTTTTTATTTACAGCTTTATAAAAAAAATATTTTCATCTTGGGTTTCAAATTTGCTGAAGCAAAATTATTCACAGTTTTATGTCATCTTTTTTCATTCAATGTCTTTTGTGTTTTTAAACTTAATAATTAACTATTTTGCTAGTCTTTCTAAAGTGCCTTCTGGTTCTGTGCAACTACATTTCTCCCTATGTGATTATTTTTTACCTTTATTTATTTATAAATCAATAGATTTTATTTTTATTTTTATTTTTATTTTTTTTAAAGATTTATTTATTTATTATTTACACAAGCACTGGGTACAGCAAGAAGCGCGGAAGGGTGAGAGAATTCCCCAGAGCCAGAGCGGGGAGCAGAGCAGGCAGAAGGACCGAAGTACAGTGCTGAGGGGAGCAGCGGGCGGCAGGAGAGGTCTGCGCGCCATGTGGGACCCTCCTCCGGTGGCCAGGAGCAGCCGGGGATCGAACCTGCGCTGCAGAGGCTGCGGGCAGCTTCACAACCCAGCGCTCAACCGCTGTGCCACCGGGGAGGCCCTAGATTTTATTTTTAAAGTCTTTTTCGGTTTATTGAAAAATTGGGTAGAGTGCAAAATGTTCACATATACTTTCATTCTCCTTCCCTACCTGCACCTACATTATTCCTTCCCCCAACTCTGCCCCACACAATTTGCTCTATCATTAACAGCTTACATCAGTGTTGTATATTTATTACAATTGATGAACCAATACTGATATATTATTATTAACTAAAGTTCATAGTTTATGTTAGGGTTCACTCTTTGTTTTGTACAGTTCTGCGGGTTTGACAAATGAACATCATTTATCTACCATAACTTATCAGAATAATGTCACTGCTTTAAAATCCCTGTGTTTCTCCCTCCTTACCCTCAACTTTTTTTTTTTCAAAAGATTTAGTTATTTTATGCATACAAGAACTGGGGTACAGACCAGAGGTGTGGAGGTGAGAGGATTCACCAGAAACAGAGTGGGGAACAGAACAGGCAGGCAGACCAAAAGTACTGCTAAGGGGAGCAGTGGGCGCGACAGGAGAGGTCTGCCGCGCCATGTGTGTGCCCAAAGATTGCATTCCTTGTCATGTATGTTTACTGAAGTCTCTGTTCTGTAATCTCAGGAGTCAGCTAGTGACCAGAGCATATTACCTTAAATGCCTAGAGACAAAAGGGGGTGGGAGGGGACCTCCTTTGGTCTTGCATATTGGCTCTGAGCTAGGACATTCCTTCAATGCTAAGCTAACCTGACTACAACTCTGCCTTAGCCTTTGCTTCTTGTTTATGTGGAATACAATGATCAGCCATTCTTCATTCCTGCCCCAGGCAGCAATGATAGGGTAGCATGTATCTTTGAACATTTCCATCAGAAGCTACCTGGAAAGTCACTCCAACCTGAGGGGGAGAAGTTAAGGTTAGTCTCTGTGCTGGTCTCTTACGCAATCAACAGACAGGTCAAATGTATGGCCACAATTTTTGAGAATAAAGCTCATGGAGCATGGGCCATTCTTCACAAGGCTGCTGCTAAGCTGGGGACTAGGAAATGCTATGTAGGCAGATAGGCAAACATAACAATGCTTTCTTACCAAAATTCAGCTGCCTCTTTATTTATTAAGCACTCCCTGATTGACTTAGATGTTGCTTAGATTCAAGTTAAGAAAACATCGATTAAGTCAGTTTTTGCTTAATTCTTATTTTAGTGAAGAGACCAATTCTTGGAGTTCCCTCCTCTGGTAATTCCACCAGTTATTGTCACTTCTGCAAACAGTTTGGGAAATCCACTGTAGATAGAGTTTGCATGTTCTCCCCAAGCCTGCACATGTTTTTTCTGGAGCTGGTTTCCTTCTACATCCCAAAGATTTGAATGTTAGGTTCACTGTCATGTCTGAATTGTTCCCATCTGAGTGAGTGTGGGTATTTGTGTGTGTGTGTGTGTGTGTGTGTGTGTAATGTCTATGTTGATTCACCCTCAACAGCAAGAGAAACAAAAGACACATGGGACTATATCAATTTAAAAAGCTGCTGTCCAGCCATTGTTAAAATAAAAGGCAGTCTACTGCATTGTAGAAAGTATTTGCAACCATGTATCAGACAAAGGGTTTTATTTAAAATATATAGACAACTCATACAATTCAACAACAACAAACCAAACCAAACAAAAAGATGGTTACCACAAGGGAAGAGGGAGGGCAACAGGTTAGAGAAAACTTATTGGTTAGTGGTGGATGGTGAGTGGACATTTGGTGGTGAACATGGTGTGACACATACAGTCATTGAGGTGAAAACTGCCCATTTGAAACCTATACAGACTGTAAACTAGTGTTACCTCACTAAAAATGTTTATTTTTTAAAGACTATTAATGTGTGAGGAAGGGTGAGCAATCAAGGATGATTCCTAGGTTTTTGTCCTGGACAACTGCAGTGCCAGCATGCACAGGACAGGTTCTCTATCATTTTGGGCAGACAGATAAAGGAGAGTTCAGGACCCCTCAGTGGCTTTTTCAGGCTTTAATGCTCTTTCTACACCAATTGTTTTGGGGCAAGCCTGCAGGCTGGCGGGCCGGAGAGTCTTTACTCTTTTTCTTTGGGCTCTCTCGGCATCGTCAGATGGTCCTGCCTCTCTAGCCACTCGCCTGCTTGTAGCTGTTATGCCATAGCCTTCCTCCTTGTCTGAGTGATGCTCCTCTTAGAACCTCAGCCTCCAGGCTCAGGCGTGCCCACTCACACATGCCCACACCATATTCCAGATGTCCACAATCAGGCTTGTGTGCCCTGTGCCCTCGCTCCCAAGTGCCTCCTGTGTTAACAAAACCAACCCCACAGGTGCTAGCCAGGGAACCAATGGCATCAAAGCCTGAGCAATTCACTTACCCTGCGACAACCAAAAAGCCAGTGGGAACATTTACAGGGATAAGGAAGATTGGGGAGCAAGAAACTTGGACCAAAAGTCTTACTTGGATCCTATTAAATTTGAGATGCTTATTAAACATTCAAGGAGAGATGTCAGACCTGTTGTTGAATGTCTCCTCTTCATAGTTAGTTAATGGGCTGAATTTAAGGCTATCCAGAGTTTCCTTCAACCATGTTAAAAACATCCAACAAAGTTGCTGATGGATTTCATAAATTAGAGTGTACACACACAATGCTCTTCCATGAATTGGCATGCATATGTGATTTTTAATAAAAAAATCATAAAAGGTGTGCATGGTTTGCATCCGTTTCTAAGACTATATTCTATTTTTCCTGAGAAGTTGGTGTAAGGGCAGGTATGGGCACAGTGCAGGTTTTCTATGACCTGAGCAGTCGGGGTAAAGGAGGGATCCTGGAACCCTCAGTGGCTTTTCAGGATTTATGAGGTACAACGTAGGCAGGGGTGCTGGGAGGCCAGGAGACTGGCAGGCCTCCCAGCCCCCAGCAAGTCTTCACTCTACCTTGGCTCTCTGGTGTTGTCTGGTGGCCTTATTGTCTGCTGCTCTCGTGGTTCTGCTGGCATCCCATTGACACCGCTCTTATAACCCCAGTCTTAGTCCAGGTGAATCCTATCTACCTATGCCCACACCCTACTCCAGCTGCCCGCCATCAGGCATGCATTCAGGACCGCCAGGATCCATCATCAATCCTGATGGCGGGAGGGCAGAAACGCCTGATGCTTTCTACCTGCACTTGGCAACTGATAGACAATAAGCAGGGGTTACCTCAGGTTCTGGGATTTGGTGCCTTTTTATTCCTTTTAAATCTTGCTGTTGGCTTAAAATGTCTTCAGTAACCACATATTCACCTGGACAGTCTGTCTCTCAAAGAACATCCATTCTAGCCGGGCTGTCAGGTGAGGGCTACCAAGGTGACGAGCTGGGCGCTGGACCAGCTGCAAAGTAGGCAAGGCCAGGAGCAGAGGTAGGGGCGGGGGGAGGCGGCCGGAGGGCCCCGCCCTCTTGCGTCACGTGCGCGCCGGGCGCCAATGACCGCGTCCAAGCCCACCTTAGGGACGGGGCGGGGCGCCCAGCTGGCGTCACCAGGACAACGGGCGTTGCCGGCGCCTTGTGACTCCGGGCTGTGGGCGCGCTCGCGGCTCTCCGGCCATGGTGAGTCTGGGGCGGGCGCCGCCCGCCCTTCGCCGCCGGAGCTGAGGCCCCGCGGGGCCGCCCCCCGGGGTCGGGGAGGCGCCGGGGTCGCGGAGAGGCCGGGCCCGCGGCCTGCGGGGCTGCGAGACGGGGCTGGGCGGGCCCGGGGGAGGGGGAGCCCGGGGGTACCTGGACCCCCGCCTGCCCGGGGGTGATGGCCACGCCGCGTTTTCTGCAGCTGAACCTCTGGGTCACAGCTGGGACACCTCCCGAGCCCCCCCTCCCCGGCCCCGCCACTGAGGCACACCCGGTGGCCCCCCGGACGGCGTGACGCTCTTTGGCCCCGAAAGCCAGGAAAGCCACCCGGAGAGGGTGTGGTTTAAGGAAAAAAGGCTGTGTCTGAGGAGCAGATATATAGATAGCTCCACACCAACCCTGTATTCCACTCCGTGAGCTTACTGTCTTGTTCCTGGGCCGTTGTACAAAAATAATATGATAGCATCATCAATATTTCTTTTCAGTTCTTTCTGATTTTTTTTTAGCATGTGGAAATTTAAATTTGTAATTTTGGTGCTTTCCTCTCTCCTATTTAAAAAACGCAGGCGTTCAGCTGGGTGTTTTGAGTGTAGCACCCGTGCTAAGGGGGTTCATGAATCATTAGTCATTGTAAACGTCTTCAGTTATCGCCTTTGTGCAGTGAACTTGAGAGTGAAATGGGCATATATCACTTGGCCCCCTTTAAATATGACTTGAAGGTTCAGCTGAGATGTTGTCTTTAGTAGACATGATTCTGAAAATTGCCAACCAGAGGTGTGATATCTCCAGAGGCCTCCAAAGGGTGTAAAAGAATGGAGGAGTTGAGCTTTCTGCTTTGGGACACACCTTTGGTATAGGTAACTTTAGAGTGGGGTAGGGTTGGATAATAAGAAAATGCTGAGTTGTGAGAAACTGATTTTTTATCATTAGTAATTTAGTGTAGGTTTGCTCTTTATATGCAAGGGTTGCTGGAACTGCTCATGAGCTGAGAATGCAGGGTGCTGCCAGGTGGTATTTGGTCTTCTGGAACCATGAAATGTGGAACTCTGGCTGACTCTTCATAGTGAGAGGCATGGTCGTAGAGAAGTGATGGTTTATGTCTCTCTTTAATTGGCAAAACAACTGCCAGGTGTGTGGCCTTTGGTAGCAGGACAAGAACACCTGCAAAGAAAAGCAGTGTCTTTGTGTATGTTTCTTTAAATTCTTTAAATTTAGATGAAGAATCAATGAGGCAGGCAAGAGTTTCCGAAAATGAGTATTACAAAAATCTAAGTGTTTTAAATATTGAAATGACTTACTTTCATATGATACATTAAGAAGCACTCTTAGAATTACAGCAAGAAGGGCAGACTATTCAGAATTAAATTTTCACAGCTCTCTGAAGTACTCCTGTTGTCCACTCTTCCTTGTTTTTATCCACCCCTTCTAGTCTGACCCACGGTTACCTTGACTCATATTGTTCTAGAGATTTTACTAACTAAGATAAAAGCATTTTACTCTACTGTTGTATTGTGGATACTTTGCTGGACTTAGAAATGCTTCATTTTTAGTATGTCCTTAAGAATTTAACTCATGGCAGGTGGTTAATTGAGTGATAAATGGATGCCTGGGTTCCACGGGAAGTGGGGAATGCTTGGTAGGTGGGGGGAATGAAGAGATAGCCTTGTCATCCCCAAAACTGTATTCCAGAATATAACATTACACTTCATTAATTACATCTTTACATATCATCAAATCTAAACATACTGCTATAGCTCTATGATACAAACAACTTTACATGCACTTGGAACTGCTTAATTATTTCTCCATGAAAATTTCTTCAACTTAACTACTTGTTTCTATTGCCTCTATAATTGTAACAGCTGACATTTATTGTATTCATTCTGTATGAGACACTTCTAGGCACCTTGTGTGTATTACTGAACCATCACAGCAACCCTGTAAGGAAGATAACCATTACCCATTTTATTTATTTTCAGAGATTTATGTATTCATGCATATAAGAACTGGGAGTGTAGGCCAGAGGTACCAGGGGGTGGGGTGAGAGGATTCACCAGAGACAGAGTGGGGAGCAGAACAGGCAGATCTACTGAAATACACTGCTAGGGGAAGCAGCGGGTGAGACAGGAGAGGTCTGCTGCGCCATGTGGGTCACCTCCCTAGCCGGGTGTTGAACTCATGCTGCAGTGGCTGCTAATAGTTTCATAGTGTTGAGACTTAACCTCTTGCACTGCCAGGGAGACCCTACCCATTTTAGAGATGAGTAGATCGAAGCACAGAGAGGTAAAGTAGCTTGCCCAGGTCACCCAGCTGCTAAAGTGAATGAGATTTCAAAAACAGGCAGTTTGTCTCAGAACCTTGTTATGCAGTCATTGGATTATACCGTAACGTCTAATGTATCATTATATGTTCCTGTATATGCCATGTATGTTAGGAAATTATTTTTCTTCCTTACTTGAACTTTTATGTTGAACACTTACGAATACTTGAGTATTTGTGTCACTGGCTTAGATGCTACAGAGCAGAGTAGGAATGCCTGGCCTTCTTTGCTCTGCTTTTCTCCTCCCCTCTCTTACAAAGATGAAATGAAGGGAATTAACAAAGACATGTTATTGGATTAGGATTCATACTCGAAGTTATAATAGCATTGAAAGTTCCTCCTGTCGCTTTGGTTTATGTTCAGGAATTGGCCCCTGCTTTTTGTGAAGCACAAAGATAGTGTTTTATATCAAGCTATTTAGATTTGGGGAATGAAACTCTTTTAAAAAGTAAAATGTTACTTTCTGAGATTTTTCCTGATAGTAATTTTTACATTTGTTTTAGTTTTATATTCTAAAATTATTTTAAAAGTGGAATCAAGTAATTGTGTAATTCATATAGATCTAAATATACATTAGGATACCTGTTAAGTTTTTGATATTGCTTACTTTAACTTGTGAGGCAGATTGTTTTGAAATATAAAAATAGTTTTCCCATTTTAATTTATTCACTTCAATTTACCCCCAATGTTGGTACATCTCTTTCTGTCTTTGTCTGTTGTCAGTAACTCAGAGGTGTTGGCAAGCACTAGTGGGGAAAAAAATATTACAATGAAATATATCCAAGGTTTAAATGCAGTTTTAGTCTCTTTGCTATCACATGGTATAGTTAAGAGAGCTTATGCAATTAGATCCAAATTATGTAATGAGATCTATGTTAATATATCACCATAAGAGATCTCTCTATAAATTTTCCTACTCTTTATAATATTGGTCTCTCTTTTTTCTGTACTAGGGTGGAGTAGATCATAAATTACAGTAGTTATAGCAATTCTCTTTCATAAAATCTTTCCACTGCCCAGTTTGGGGCTGATCACATCATGTTTATCTCATTTTCATTTAACCCTTTCACCATCCCAATGAGATTGACATTTAGTGATTTTAGCCAGACATTATGTGTTAGTGTCAGTTTGTCCAAGGTTGCATAGTTGGTGAGTGGCAGAGCCAGGACTCACCAACAGAGCCAATGATCATTAAATACACCATGCTTTTTTCAAAACTAAAGATTGTGCCCTGGGCCTGCATGAATGTATTACATCAAGATTAAGTGTCTTACTGATCAGCTGAGCCAGTGGGCTTATTTTTTTAATGACTGGCTATTATGATATCCTGCAGGATTTACTTGATTTTTTTTTCTTCTCCAACTGCAGACAATCAAAGCTCAGACATGGACAACCATGATTTGGTTATACTTTCCTCTCTGCTTGTCCTATTGCATTGTGTGTCTCATGTCTGCCTCAGTTACCGCCACGTCTAGCATTGAGCTGACTCTTAAAGAGATGAGAGCAGATGGGTGTAGAGAAGCAGAAGAGGCTGTCCTTGAGAAAGCTCTTCTGCAGTCAGAATCAGGGTTCAAACTCTGTTTTCTGGGTTTTCAGTGCTGTCCATGTAATTGTGTCTTCCTGTTACATTTTCTGCCCTATAGTTTTATGTCGAGCAAATACCTGTTGTGTGCCAAATGTCGGTCATTGTGCTAAGCAGTAGGTACTCAGCAGTACATGAAAGAGACAAGGCTCTGCCCTCATGGAACTTTCAACTGAAAGGAAGATTGTAAAAGTGCTCTGGGGAAAAATAAAGCTTGATAAGAGCAAAAGGAAATTTAGGTAGGGTGGGAAAATGGGTGAGAGAAGGGAGGACTTGCTTTTTTTTTTTTTAAGTCTGACAATTTTATTTTTTATATTCCCCATACAATTATAACACCCTTATTTTGACCCCAAGCCCTCCTTTCCCTGCCCCCCACCTGCCATAGAGTGTCTCTGGTTCGTAGTTGTTTGTCGATTTTGATATTTTCTTTATTATAGTTATCATTTTTCCTGGTCCCTTATTTAAGTTTTCTAGATTCCTGCTATGAGTGAGACCATCCGGTATTTTTCTTTTTCTGGCTTATTTTGCTGAGCATGATCCCTTCCAGCGCCATCCATGTTGCTGCAAATTGCATGTGTTTATCTTTTTTGAATGCTGAGTAATATTCCATGGTGTATATGTACCACATTTTCTTGATCCAGTCATCTATTTTTGGGCATTTGGGTTGTTTCCAAAGCTTAGCTATTGTAAATAGTGCTGCTATAAACATAGGGGTGCAGGTGCTCTTTGGAATTGGTGTTTCTGTGTCCTTTGGGTAAAATACCTAGGAGTGGAATTTCTGGATCATATGGAAGCTCTATGTTTAGTAAGTCAAGAAATCTCCACACAGCTCTCCATAGTGGTTGGACCAGTTTGCACTCCCACCAGCAGTGCAGGAGAGGTCCTTTTTCTCCACAACCTCACCAACATTTGTTGTTGCTAGTTTATTTAATATGTGCCATTCTCACTAGTGTAAGATGGTACCTCATTGTAGTTTTGATTTGCATTTCCCTGATTACAAGTGATGTTGAACATTTTTTCATATGCCTGTTGGCCATTTGCATTTCCTCGTTAGAGAAGTTTCTTTTTAGCTCTTCTGCCCATTTTTTGACTGGATTATTTTCTTTGTTTTTGTGGAGTCTCATCAGCACTTTGTAGATTTTTGTGATCAGTCCTTTATTGTTAGTGTTGTGAGCAAAAATGTTCTCCCAGTTGGTGGGTTTCTCTTTGTTTTGGTCATTGTCTCTTTTGCTGTGCAGAAGCTCTTTAATTTGATGTAGTCCCAGCTGTTTATCTTTGCCTTCACTATCACTGCTTTGGGTGATGTAGCTGTAAAGATGTCTTTGATGTGCATATCACATAGTGTTTTGCCTATATTTCCTTCTATGTATTTTATGGTTTCAGGTCTTATGTCTAGTTCTTTAATCCATTTTGAGTTGATTTTTGTGTATGGTGTGAGGTAGTGGTCAAGCTTCATTCTTTTGCATGTAGCGACCCAGTTTTCCCAGCACTATTTATTGAACAGACTTTCTTTGCTCCAATGCATAGTCTTTGCTCCTTTGTCAAAGATTAGTTGACCATCAATCTGTGGGTTTATTTCTGGATTTTCTATTCGATTCCATTGGTCTGTGTGTCTGTTCTTGTTCCAGTACCATGCAGTTTTGATGATTATGGCTTTGTAGTATGGTTTGAAGTCTGGGAGTGTGATGCCTGGGAGGACTTGCTTTTTAATGTAGAAGGTAAGGAAGGTCTCTCTGATAAGGTGACTTTTGAGCAGAGGAGCTATCATGGGAATGATAGCTGGTGTGTTGGAGGAACAGGAAGGAAAACAGTGTAGCAGGAGTGGAGTAATATAGGAAAGCATATTAGGAGGTAAGACCAAAATACTCATGGAAGCCAGGTTATGCAGATTACTTTGCCATTTCCTATGAGAGAAGGGGATATGACTGGGTTTAAGAAAAGGAAAAACGTAAGGTGACTATATTTTATAAAAGGATCATCTTCTATGTGGAAAATACATATGAGATAGGAATGAGGGGAGACAGGACAAAGGGACCACATAGGACATCATTGTTGCAGTAATCTGTAGGGTTGCTAATAGAATTTAAAAATGAAAAATGCCAAGGATAGTTACAGTGACTTGAGCCAGAGTCAGAGGAAAGAGTTGTCATTTACTGAGATGAAAGCTGGGAATAAGTTCAGGTTAGGGATGATGAAAATGGGAGTTTGTTTGAACTTGATAAATTTGTGCTCTTTACTAGATATCTAAAATCTGAAGACATCTGGTGATACACAATTATGCTTTCAGAAACAATATATGATTGTTATCATGCTACTGAGGGATACCCAGGGACCCCAACAGTTAAGGGGTACATGCTCAGTAAAGGGTCCTACCATTTTTTTTATGCATACAAGAACTTGGGTGTAGGCCAGAGGTGCAGGGGGGTGTGGGGGTGAAAGGATTCACCAGAGAGAGTGGGGAGCACAGCAGGCTGATTGACTGAAATACACTGCTGAGGGGAGCAGCAGGTGAGACAGGGGAGGTTTGCTGCATCATATGTGAATTGGCTCCCTGGCCACTGGGCTTTAGGGATTGGACTCAGGCCAGCCATTGCAGCAATAGCACTGAGACTTAACCCATACGTTGCCAGGGACCACCCCTCCCCCCCCATCACTGTAACTTTATAGTAAGCTTTAAAATCAGGAAATGTAAATTTTCTTTTAAAGATTATTTTGACTATTCTGGGTCCCTTGCACTTCCATATGATTTTTAGTGTCAATTTTTTAACTTTTTCCCAAAAAAGGCAGCTGGGATTTTGATAAGAATTTCATTAAATCTATGGATAATTTTGGAAAGTGTTGCTAACTTAATGCTATTAAATCTTCCATGAACATGGAATGTCTGTTAAATCTTCTTTAATTTCTCTCAACAATGTTCTGTGCAAGTTTTCAGTATAGAAGTCTTGTACTTCTTTAGTTGTTTATTTCTTAGGTATTTTATTCTTATGCTGTAATGAACCTAAATTCATTTTAAGTTTATTCATTGTTAATATATGTAAATGCAGTTCATTTTATGTAACATTTTGTATATTTGTATATTATATCCTGCAACCTTGATGACTCCTCAATTAGTTCTAATAGATTTTTTGTGGATTTCTTAGAATTTTATGCATACAAATTGTGTTATCTATGAATAGAGGTTGCTTTACTTCCTTTCAAATAGGAAATGTCTTTTATTTTTCTTTTGTAATACCCTTGACTAGAACCTTCAATAAAATGTGGCATACAAATGGCTGTGTATTGCCATTTTTATGAAATGATGATTGGTCATAAACTATATCCATCAGTAAAGTGTGGTGGCTTCATGAAATTATTATCATATCTGTAGAGCAGTGATTGGGGTCATTTGGATCTAAGAAAATGTAATTTTTTTTAATTAATTGAAAACCACTTAAATAATTCCCTTTTTCTTCCTGTTCAGGTTTTCTCAAATAATGATGAAGGCCTTATTAACAAAAAGTTACCAAAAGAACTTCTCTTAAGGTAAGTGTAGATAAACTTAAGTAGAGAATTAAGATTTGATTCAGTCAGCAAGTTCCAAGACTATCTTCTTTCTCACTGTGAGTCCATAGCATAGAAAAAGAGACAGAATTAGCCTAACTGACTTTTTGTTTTTGTTTTATAGAATGCTGTTCAGCTTGTTGTTAAATTTTACTTGGTCTAATCCAGAATGTACTAAGTATGTACATAGCATTGGTCTGGATTCTTTTTGTAATGTGGTAAGTATTGTAATAATCTTCAGTAGGTGCCATTGTTTGGGTATCAGTAGCTAATCTCAATGTAGTCAGTAACATCAAGACAGATTATTATTAAGGTTGTGAGCTGCTAAAGTGGAGACATTTAGATATTTTCTGATAAGTCAGTTTTAAGATAAATAGTTATCTGTTCTTACTGAGCACTTAAAATTTATATAAAGGTAGCCCCAAATAGTAATACATTCTTATTTTATGAGAATTTTGTGTCTAGTGACAGTGAATATTATCAAGCAGGCTTTTTGTCCTTTTTTTCTTGAATCTTTAAACACATAGTAAATGTTACTTTGCTTGTCATTTTGCCAGCTAAAGCTATCAACCCATATTTGTTGACTTGAGGCACTGCAGTTTCCTTTAGTACTCTGCAATCATCACAGAAATCTTATTTTGGTTTTGGATGTTATATTTTAATTATCTGCTAAGAATATATGCTAATTCTTGAGTGAAATTTCCCAAACTCTTTTATCATTAATGTTCTATGAAACAGGTTTTATGATCATATCAGTATGGGAACACTGAGTCAACAAAACCAATTTATTTACTACATTACTTCTTAGAGCCTTAGGCTAGTCTGCATGGTGATGTTCCCACACGTGTTGTTGTGGCATATCAAACGCTTTGACCATAGAACTCATTTGATATTCCATATAACATTGGGAAGTCTTTGACATACATTAAAGACGTTGACCAGATGACTTATTCCTGGCAGTACTAAGATTCACTTTAATATTGGGGGAATGAATCTAAGCGTGACTTTTGTTTACATATTGTCATTCACCACTGATCATTCTATAAATGCCACAGATTACTCACTGTTGCTATCCTCAGTACCTTAGGCCTTTGTTCTTGAGTCAGAAATTGGGTGAGGATTTAGCATTCTGTGTGATCACATTTCAGGGACTTCAGAGTCCTCGAGCATATCTCATTAGTTATCATGTAGTGTTTGGCACTATTGTCATGAGCTCATTTTACTTGGTAAATAAAATGATGTTTTATTTCAGTAAAGCAAAGATTTGTTTGGAGAAGCGAATATCTTTGGTATTTTACACCATTATCAGTTTAAAAGTGTTAACAAGGAGGGAAAGTATATCATATAAACCCACAAGATTTTGATCAAGCACAGGTAAACTGTTAGAACCAATATGGCAGGGGTAGGGTAGACAGGCTAACATTATACAACAGACTACAATGGTAGTCTGGTGTCCCCTAAAATTGTGTAATGTTTCATTCTTAGTCTGAACATTTTTCTAAAACAGACATAAAACTGTAATAAGAATATATCATTCTTCATCTGGGGAATCATAACCAGTTTCAAGCAGACCCATATTAATTATTTAACACTGGCCTGTGTTTAAACTCCACCCTTTTGGTGAATACTGCCACTATCTGTGACACAGGGCCACTAACTTACTATTTTTTTTTTCCTTCAGATAGGGTTAACTTTTATACTATACTTAGTCATGGAACAGTTTTTTCTTTTTCTTTTTTTTTTTTATACAATAGCTGGGGTACAGGCCAGAGGTGCAGGAGGGTGAGAGGATTCACAAGAGACAGAGTGGGGAGCAGAAGAGGCAGGCAGACCAAAAGCACTGCTGAGGGGAGCAGCGGGCACGACAGGAGAGGTCTGCCGTGCCATGTGGGAATCTCCCTGGCCGGCTGGGAATCGAATCTGCGCTGCAGAGGCTGCGGACAGCTTCACAGCACTGTGCTCAACCTGCTGCGCCACTGAGGAGGCCCACAGTTTTTGTCAGTTGTCCCCTCCCCCGCCCCCCCAAAAAAGAATTACATCACTTTCTATGATAGTATAATTTCTGACCTTTGTCTTAGAAATTTTAGTTCTTTTAAAGATCTGTGATGTACTCAGTTGTTAGAGTCCTGGAGGTTGTCATCACTACTTATAGCTTTTGAATCATGCAAGATGACTTCATACATAGACCATTTTCTAGAAGTAATTGCCATTTGAGAGCAAATATTTATAACATTTCATAGATTTGCATTCCCACTTCTGATTTATTTGGGAGTGTGTAAGGGGAATTTAGATTTTAAAGTACTGCCACTACAGGTATCCCCTTGTGAGTTTCAAAATTAACTGTAACCAACTATGGCGTTTTAATATTGTTGGTCTTTAAGTCATGTTTGCCAGTTTACTCTCAGACTTTGTATTTTGTATTCTTAGTAGCTCTCCCCTTTCCTAACTATCCTTTCTAAGCAAAACTTTGAAGGGTTTGAACTGGGTTACTAAAGCAGCTGTCTTCATCATTTAATTCTACAACAAAGCGAGTGAGTCCCCACCTCCTGGAGGATACGTATTGATTAGTTTTGTTAGTTAAATGAGGTCTTCATAATTTTGGACTGACCAAGGCTTGCATTTTTGCTTCATGTTGTAGACTTCTTTGTGACAGTGCAGACTGTTGTTCCTATTTCACTGAATCCCTGTTCACCATCAGTATTTCTTCAATAGGTGTGAAGTTTTTGAGTTTATGATATTCTTGTTTGTTTGTAGCCTATGTCACTTTATCTTGTCACTTTTGATGCATCTTTACTACCCTCTTAAATTCTCTACTAACTTTCATAATCAGTGAAGCTTCAGCTTCCTCTTTTGGAACTGTTAAGAAGCTTAAGAATTAATGTTTTTCTTTTCCTCTCTTTATATATTACTCTGAATCCACTCAGAAAAGTCTGAGGTTTTTTCCATCTGATCACTTACCACTCATTCTAAGAATCCCAATATTATCAATTCACAGATTTCTTCTACTCTCATTTTTTGTTTGTTACTTAACAAGTTTTTTTGCAATTTTACTTTTTCTACAAAACTTTCCTCATAAGTTCAAGGTACTCAGGTTCTCCCTCTCTACCCTTTACCGTCACACAGTTCAGCAAACAGCTTGAAATTTTATTCTTTCTAGAGAGTTATATAATGCTTATAACATTGGGAAAATTTAATTTTTGTAATCTGTGTATTAGTGAGTTGAGTTTTCCTTACATGTATTTGTTTTCATTGTTTATATTACTTTTGGAGCTATACTTTTTGGGTTGATATTTCAGCTATGCCCATTTACTAATTGTGTGAGTTTAGTTAAAGTTGCTTAAGTATATCTTTCATATTTAATCTCATCTGTAAAATAGGGATAGTAATAGTTCTTTCCTTATGTGGTTATTGCTGGCTCTTAGAGTACCTGATACTTAATGAATATTGAAAAAGTTAGAACTTTTGTTATTAACTAATAGCAGAATACTTAATAAATGCTGTTTCATGATGCAGTGAATTTTAATGGTAACAGTTTATAGTCAAGAAGTCCTGATATGGACCTTAATATGTGCTTACTGTATGGGCCCTGGTGGTGCAGGCGGTTAAGTGCATCACTGTGAAGCAATCTGCAGCCTCTGCAGCACAAGTTTGAGCCCCGGCTGGCTGGGGAGAAACCCATATGTTGCAGCAGACCTCTCTTGTCTTGCCCGCTGCTCCCCTCAGCAGTGTATTTTGTCAGTCTGCCTTTTCTGTTCCCCGCCCTGTCTCTGGTGAATCCTCTCACCCTCCTGTGCATCTGGCCTGTACCTGGTTCTTGTATAAATAAATAAATCTTAAAAAAAAAAAAAACTCAGTAAAAAATTATTAAGACCGTGATTCATTTCATCAGCCAGTACTAATTCAATCTCAATGGAAATTGCATTTCCCATCTGATAGAAACTGACAGCTACTGGGGTTTATGCAGATTAGTAGTGGTTTTGTGACAAGTGGCAATTATTTTGTCTCGTAAAAAAGCCAGTTTCTTTGGAACAAACTTTTGTCTTAAGAAGCCTATGGGGGCCTCCCTGGTGGCGCAGCGGTTGAGCGCTGGGTTGCGAAGCTGCCCGCGGCCTCTGCGGCACCGGTTCGATCCCTGGCTGCTCCCCGGCCACAGGAGGAGGGTCCTGCATGGCGTGCAGACCTCTCCTGCCGCCTGCTGCTCCCCTCAGCAGTGTACTTCGGTCCTTCTGCCTGCTCTGCTCCCCGCTCTGGCTCTGGTGAATTCTCTCACCCTCCCACGCTTCTGACTGTACCCAGTGCATGTATAAACAAAAACAGACAGACAAATAAATAAATAAATAAATAAACATGCCTCTATTAAAAAAAAAAAGAAGCCTATGGGAATCTAATATTGGCCTCAAACTCAGATTATAAATTTTAACATTAATTTGTTTGACCTACAGTTTTTACCTCTGTGAGGTTGCTTTCAGATGTTAATGATAGAATGAAAAACATGTAAACTGCTTCATAGGGAGAGAGGGAGTGACACAAACTAAATATTTTAAAACACTCTAAAAAGACAACACTCTTGTTAGTAATAAATAGGAAAGAAACCTCTTATTAGACACATTTAAAAATGTGAAATCACCGTTATTTTTGTGATTTTTCTTTCCCTTTTAAATTTATGTGGATACATGACAAAATTAACTACTTATAGTGTTTGTTGGCTTGATGAAGGAAGGTTTGATTGCCCCAAACAAGAGAGCTGAGCCTAATAATTCTGGGCAATACAAAATCAACTGCACAATTACATAATTTGGCAGTTTTTAGTGGTTAGCTTGGGAAAAGTATAAAATGAATAATGCATAATTTCCAAATTTCCTTTTCTAAAATTTATAAGCCTATGAAATTGAAATTTCACTCCAAAATGAGTGAAAATTATTGTGTTTCTTGCCGTAATCATTAAGTTACAGCCCGCTAGTTATGTTTAATCATGGGACCTTGGGGAACAGTGCAGTAAAGTGTTCATTCCTGTTTGGGGCATCATTGAGTGTTCTTGCCTGCTTGCTGGTTTCATTGCTCCATGGACTTTTTCCAAGGATTGGTACCTTAATCTGCTGCTGTCTGTGATGCCTTATATATCTATTCCAAAGCAGCTTAGCAGGTAATATGCCCTTTGGAGCAGGGTACATACTGCAAATTCAAATTTAAGCATAATGCAATTTTTTTTTTTTTTTTG